TGCCACGGCTGCCGCTGCCGCTGCTGCTGCGTGGCTCGGGGGAGGCGGAGGGGGGGTTGGAAAACTGCAGGGGCTGCAGCCGAGGGAGAGAACTTGTGACCATCAGGGTGACTCACTGCTGCTGCGGGCTCTGGGTGTGCGCATGTGTGTCTGTCTGTGTTTGCATGTGCGTATGTGTTGCCAGGGCCACCGAGTAAGTCACTCCTCTGCTGCTGGGAAACCTCCTGGCTTTTTTCTCCGTGAAGTTGTGAGGATGTTTGGTCTCCTTGAGAACCAGGCTGGCCTATCCAATCCACAGCAGGAGGAGGAGGAGGAGGAGGAGGGAGGAGCAAGAGACACAGCCAGGAGCCCTCCCCCCCCCCACCTGCCAGGGAGAAGGGCTCTCCATCACATCCCCTCCCACAGGATTTTGGAAAAAAAAAACTTTCCGGCAAGTAAAAAGGGCAGGAGGGTAGAAGGAATCCAAGCTGACTGGCTGCTCGAAAGTGCAGTTTATTAACTATTTATTTATGCATTTATTAAATAGATTGACTGCCCGTCTCATTTCAAAGCAAAACAATGAAAGAAATAGCGGATGGAAGCTACTCAAGGACAGAATCTACCTGGGATTAAGGAGGAATTTCCTGACGGTGAGAAATCAGGGGGGATGGATGTCTTACCTCCAGAAGCAGCGGCTGCGCTGTCACTGGAGGCTTTGAAGAAGAGACTGGACCGCCAATTGCCAGTAATGTTAGAGGCAGATCTCCCGCCTGAGCAGAGGGTTCGACTAGAAGATCTCCAAGGTCCCCTTCTGAGTCTGTCGCTGTGTTATTCTGGGTGGCTCACAGCGTTCATCAGGCCAGTATTTTAATAGGGGCGCCTGTGCGTGTCTGTAATAAAACAGAGAGGACATTATTTTTAAATGTTAATTATTGAAAAAGGGGCACTCTCTTCACCGGCCTGCCCCGCACGACTTTGCATCCTGAGGTCTCTCAGCCTTCACACCTGGTGCCAGGATCCAGCGGCCTGTTTCCAGGATTACACTGGCACAAGGATTGCACAACGCAGCACACACACGCCCCCCAACACCTCTGCTTTGCGCTGCTTAAGTCTGCCTCCAAGGGGAGGGGATCCAGGATTGCCTGTTGCAGCCCAAACTCTCAAGGGTCTTAGACCTTGAGCGCCCTCCCACCACCAGCTAACGTCAAACCAAACCAATTCAAACCAAATCGAAGCTTCATTAGGGTCGTAGACCAGCGTAACTGTCCCACATCGCTACGTTGCAGGGTACTGATGGATCGATGACGTTTCTACGCTACCCACCACTCCTACAAGGTGATTCTAGGCAGCTGACAGGTCTATTAAACACGTAAAAAATAATTAACATACTAAACCATTAAAGCTACACAGATTAAAATATTAAAAGCTGCACTAAAACCTACAAGAGCCAAGAGAGAGACAGGATGGGGGTCAAGTCTTCTTACCCCGTCAGCCTCATCATCTGACCCCTTCCACAGGGCCAAAGCGGGGGCAGCTCCCCCTTTCAGTGGCAGAGGGTTCCACAGGGTTGGGGCCCCAGCAGGAACCTTGATCTCCTGGGATTCGCTTCCTCAGCCGATGGGATCCGCAGCAGGCCTCCTCTTCTTGTCCCCTCCGGGGGGGACGTCACCTCAGAAATTCACAGTCTCCGACTAGGATGAGGAAAGACACGCACCCCCGCCCATTTCAGCCGGAAGGATGCGCTTTGAGCTGCAAACGGAGTTGCGTCTCTGGGTATTGGAGTTAGACGGGAGCAGGTGTGGACGGCTGAGGAGAGCGAGGACTCAGGTGAGGGGCCAGGACCATCAGGGAGTGGACTGCTGCCTTCAGGGATTGTGGGGGCTGGCAGCAGCAATGAGGAGGTTCCCAAGGAGCCTGTGCTAAGTGTGCGTGCATGCAGGGCTGCTCACAGGAAAGAGCAGCTGCAGCAGCACAGGCGACTCGGGAGTAAGGCTGCAGGGTAAGGGCCCCTCCTTCAAGAAGATAAAAGCCAGCTGTGAATCGGACGTTCTTTGCAGGAAGCAAAGACGTTTTGAAACTCAGCCTTGTGGACATTGCAGTATCTTAGTTGGCATTTGAAGACTCTTGTGTTGTAAGATATTTCTAGCAGAGGTGGGTATTCAGCAGGTTCTGACCAGTTCTAGAGAACCGGTAGCAGAAATTTTGAATAGTTCGGAGAACCGGCAAAAACCACCTGATTGGAGATTTTACAGTATCCTTCTCCTGCCACACCTACCAAGCCACACCCACAGAACTGGCAGTCAAAAAATTTGAACCCCACCACTGATTTCTAGGTAACCTTATCTGTTATTCTTGGCAGCCTCACACAGCTTTGGCGAGGCGTGTGCTCATCCAATTTAATTAGGTTGCAGCGGCCTTTTCCCCGGGGACTCGTAAGAACCATTAAAAGGTTCCTGTTCCCTTTGGTTTGGGTTTGTTTTGTTGGAAAAGGGTTTGGGTCAGAACTCTGGGGAGGCTCACGTACTTGCTTTGAACTGGTGCCCCCCCCGCCCCCCAGGAGTGCCAACAGGCAGAGAGGCCAGGCACAAGGTGGCATAGAAGGCCCTCAGAGTCGCCACAACGCACCCTGGATTCGCCTCTTTCCTTTTCTCTCCCCTGCTTGAGGGTGTATGTGTGGATAGAAGACCTCCAAAGTCCTTTTCTACTCTGTAATTCTGCACCAAGGTAGACATCGATGGAGGCCTCCAATGAACAGTGGTAATGGAAGAACCAGAGATAAGTTTGTGGGGGTGGGGGGAGAATTGTGCACCCCCTCTGAATGAACACAGACCAGGAGACATGGATCGAGAACGCGTGGATGAGGATTACCAGAGAATAAGTGACATTTGGAGGGCTAAGAATAAGACACTGCCTGCTAGACAGAATCAGAAGTAGCTCTGCCTTAGCAATTCGGTTCATTTATTTTTATCCTACATTTATTATTTTGTAAGTAACTCAAGGCAGCAAGCGTACATAAATACTCCTTCCTATTTTCCTCGAAAAAACAACCCTGCGAGGTGGACTGGCCAGAGAAAGAGGGAATGGCCCACTGTCTCTCTCTTGGCCAAGGCAGAACTAGAACACCCTGTCCCTTCGGTTTCTCACCTGGCGCCACTGCCAGGACACCTTGTTCTCGTGGCAAGGAATGAGTGGGACCCCAAATGCAGGATCGGCCTGCTTGGTTCTGGGAATAGCGAGAATTAGAGGAGCGGGAGGGAGAAGCTTTGAAACCGGAAAGACTATTTTTTGGGAGAGTCACAAATGGATTGTGGGAAAAACTAGACATGGAAGGAAAGGAATGAAATTTGAATCACTGCAGGGAGAAAAAGTAAGAGTTCGAAATTAAAACGTACTATAATATAAATTAATTATTTTAGTTGTTATTGCAATTTGCATCCCAGCCAGTTCTCTAAAACGTCTCGTTTCCCAGCAGAGAATGTATGGAAAGTGGGCCTTTGGGAAGAAAAGATGAGGGGACGTGACAGACGGACGGATGGACGGGCCTGCTGTTCCTCGGGGGGGGGGGGGGGGTCCTCCCCATAGGACCAAAACTGCCCAAAGCTCTTGGGGGGGGAGGGCATGTTAAGTGTTCCTCTAAAATCTTTTGGTGCAGTTTTGGTTCAAAGGATTGGGAAAGATGTTAATTTGGAAAGTGCGGTGGGGCTTTAAGTTAGGAAGATCAATACTCTTGGAACTGATTATTTATTTATTGAACATTTGTTAAGTATGTATGTATTTACAAGTAGTCCTTGTGTTACGACCACAGTTGGGACTGGTACTTTTGTTCAGCAGGGCGGTCATTAAATGAGTTATGTCTAATTTTATGACACTTTTTGCCACCCTCGTGAAGCAAATCGCCGGGGTCCTTAAATCCGTCGGTCATTTAGTGAATCCGGAGTCCCTCATTGGCTTGGTCAGGAGGTGGCTGGGGGGGGGATGGTCCAAACGGCAGCCTGGTCATTCCAGCCTGTTGCGGTGCTCCCAAGTTCGTGCTGGGGTGACCAAATAACGGTTTGGGGTGACCTTTGGATGGCTGATGTCCAGGGCCTGCCTGCCTTCTGCAAAACTCCAAACATGCCAACATTCAAGGTTTGAGTGTTGAGCGATGTCTGAGACCCCCAGGTGGCCTGCCTGTTGCCCCTCAGGACCCCTTGATTGCACACCTGGGAGCAAAGAGGGGAAGCTCTTGGCTGTGACTGGCAGGTGTCACTCTGAAGGGCTGTCACTCATTAGCTCCCCAGGCAGGAGAAAAGGGAGGCTGGGCAAAGACTGGGTTGGGGGGTGGGAGGGGGTTGGAACGTAATAGGTAAGATGGCCTCTAGGATCCCCCGGGGGCCCCAGACTCAGAAGGGCCTCTATTCAGCCGCCCCCTCCCCCCAGCCCAGGATCCCGCGCAAAAGGGGCCTCAGCCTTCCAGAAAGTGCCGGAAGCAAGAGGAGAAACCCAGCCGGAGGAGCGTTTCTCTTGGCCCGGCAAGGGGGCCTCCCCGGCTCCGGCCAAGAGAGTCAACGTGGCAGCCAGGCCGCTGCACCTGAAGCTCTGCCCCGGTGCCCTTCGAGAACCAGGGAGCGCTTCCAGGGCGCCCCCGCGCGCCTTCCCGGCCACCGGCCGACCCTCCCGCCACGCCCGGCCTGCAGGCGCGCGCGCCCGGTCAGCCACTCCGACGGGGCCACTCCAACCCTGGCTTCTGCCGCACTGGAAGGCCGGCCTTGGGAAGCGGAGAGGGCGGCGGGCTGGGCTGCCTCGTCCCGAAAGAGCCAAGCGGGGCGGTGGGACTCGGCCTCGGGGGGCGGGGGGGGTGGAGGAGCCCGACCAAAGAAGCCGCCGATGCCCCCCCGCACCCGGCAGGAGCCGCGCAGCTGCGCTCCGCGGGGCGAGGGGACGACAACTGCCCGCATTCCCGGCCGGAGGGCACATCCGGGGGAGGGGGAGAGCTTTCTCCAGCCCGGCGCCCCCTCCGCCTCCCCGGGGTTCTTCCGCCAGCGGGCCGGGGGCTCGGCGGGGCCTGGCGGGGCTGCGTCCTTCGGAGGGGCGGAGCCGCCGCCGTCCAGCCCGCCCCGCGCTCCTCCCGGGGGTATTTGAGGCGGCGGCCAGGCCGGGAGTGACTCAGACGCGTCGCCGTCAGTCGGAGGGCCGCGCCAGCTTCTCGTCGCCCGCCCGCTCGCCGCCGCCGCCGCCGCCATGGAGACCCCCGCCGGGCAGAAGCGCGGCCTCCGCAGCGGGGCCACCTCGACGCCGCTCTCGCCCGCGCGCATCACCCGCCTGCAGGAGAAGGAGGACCTGCAGGAGCTGAACGACCGGCTGGCCGTCTACATCGACAAGGTGCGCTCGCTGGAGTCGGAGAACGCGGGGCTGCGGCTGCGCATCACCGAGTCGGAGGAGGAGGTCAGCCGCGAGGTGGTCGGCATCAAGGCGGCCTACGAGGCCGAGCTGAACGACGCCCGCAAGACGCTGGACTCGGTGGCCAAGGAGCGCGCCCGGCTCCAGCTGGAGCTCACCAAGGTCCGCGAGGACTTCAAGGAGCTCAAGGCCAGGTGAGACCCCCGCGCCGCGCCCGCCCGCTTCCGTCGCGCCGGACCGGCTGGCCAGTCGTAAAATGGCAGCCGGCCGGCCGGGCAGCCGCTCTGGACTTGACAGCGCCCGGCGCTCCTCTACCCGAAGGCCCTTGAGGCGGGAGGCTTGGGCGGGGAGGGGCCGGGCGCGATCCTCCCTTGCCCCCCGCTCCCTCCGCTTTCCGGGCGGGGGCCTGGCCGGCTGGTCCCGCCTGGGCTTCCCGTCTCCGGTCGGGCGTGGCGCTGAACGTGTGTCACTCCAAGCCCGGCCGACCCCAAATCCTGCCCACCGGGCGCTTCGGCCCAACCGCCCCGCGCCCGGGAGGGGGCGGGGGGTCGCTGCCTTGGGGGGGGGGGGGGGGGGCGGCGCGCGGGGAGGAATCCCCCTCAGCCAATGCCGGGAGTCCCGGGACAGAGCCTGAAATGGCGGTTTGGGGAGAGGCCGAAGGCGAGAAAAACGACCCTCAAGACCGCCCAAATGTCCAGCGCAACGGCCGCCTCTCTTGACTTCTGGGATTTGATGCCTGACTAAGGATTCCTTGGCTGGAAAAAGTCCCCAAGGCTCGGCTGTAGTTGGTGACAGCAGCGGAAAAATTGTGGGAATGTGTGGGTGTGTGGTAGGCAACGGATCCCCCCCACCTTTGTGCTGTTGAAGGAGAAGTGGAGGGTTAGCGTTTTGCTCCTTGACCCTGAGGACTAGAAACGCTTGCACCTTAAAGGGGTTTTAAAACTTTAATTTTGCCTTCTTAACTCTTTTGTCATTAATATCCTATACAAATGGCAATAATTTGCCAATTGATTTAGTGGTTTAAAACTTTGGTGGGGCTGGGTTTTTTTTTTGCAAAGGATGGGAAATATTGTAATGTATTAATTAGTACTTAGCTAGGCGGGATAATATGCATCGTTAGTTTTTTAAAATGAAATCTTTAATGTCTTGTTTTGTGTTTGTTTTATTTTTTTGGGGGGGTGGGAGTTGCGATGTTTAACTTTTGGAGAACATAAGACCCTCAGACTATAACGGCAGAGCTGCTGCTGTTGGCGAGAAATCCTGCCCAGACTTGGTTGTGGTCTTCCTGGCGTAATGAGGGGGGGGATTTGGGGAGCCCCACCTTCATGTTCAGTGTGCCAAGTGCCAACATTGGGTCTCTTCGAGGCTGCAGCTCGGGGTGAGATTTTCCCAGTGTAACAACTGGTTTGCTAATTACTTACCTTCGGCGTTACTTACCTTCAATTACCTGCAGTTACTTATACCTTCAATGCTACGTGGGGGAAGTAACACAGCTGAGGCACGTCAATCCACTCTGCCACGTGGATCAGCTATCCAGCTGGAAAAAGGGGGTTCCGAGTTCTTCCTGATGGGGTCTGTTGCTTTCCAGGGATGCAGCCATGACCTGTGGACTTCAACTCCCAGAATGCCATAGCTGGCTCAGGAATTCTTGAGAGTTGAAGTCCACAGGTTGTCAATCGCTGCCCACTCCTGGTCTGCACCAATGGGGGCCAGGATAAAACAGCTAAAGAACCCCAAACTGCTGTGTAGACCAGAACCCCGCCCTCGCAAAACGTGGAACATCCAGTCGAGGACATGTGCATAAGAGATAAAATTAGATTCCGGTTTAGATTCTAACATTCCTGACCTTAAATAACCCCCGTGGTTTGGGCTTCCCACTTGCCAGTCTGATTCTCTTAACAGGTTTGGCAGTTCTAGTTTTGTCTGCTTACTCACAAACAAGCTCCGGTGGTTGAATGAAGTGCAGATTGCTCCTGCGTGCTGTGTGCGTTCAGCTGAACCTTCCCGGCTTCTGCACACTCATTTTCACACTTCTTGCGAAAGTTCCGGGGAAATGAGCGTGAAGGTCCTACAAAGACATTGTTAGTGATAGGTGGACTAATGGGAAGTGTGCAAATAAATTCGCCTCTCCTTCTGCTTCTCCATCTTGGCTCTCTCTGGTGTTTGTGGGGCTGGGTGTGGCTGTGTTCGTTTGGCACCTGTAATTAATCATTCTGCAACGTTGTAGGTGTGCCAGTACCCTGTTCCCTCCTGGCTGGGCGATGACACATGGGCTTTGGTACGCTTCTGGCGAGGCTGGCTTTGCTTTGACTCTGGGCCACAGCTCTTACTTGGGTGGTTAGAGTTCAAGGCTCAGTTAAATCTCATTTCCAGCTGCTAAAATGGATGCGTGTCTCCCCTGCTCAGTCAGCCAAAAACGTGTCTTGTAATTTTCCATTTCGGATGGAGGGGAACTGCCTGATTTTTATGCAAACCAGTGATCCTCAACTTACAACTGATGGGTTAGAATACGGCATAACAGAGTCAGAAGGGACCTTGGAGGTCTTCCAGTCCAGCCCCTTGCTCAGGCAGGAGACCCCAAAGGTATAATGCCTCCGAAAGGTGCTTTATAGTACCATTCCAGCTGGTGGTTTGCCCCGCCCCTGTGGTCACATGACCACATTTTGGGTGCTCCAGGACCTGTTGCATTTACAATCACGGCCACATGACCACGATTTCTGGGAAAACAACAACAAAATGGTTGCTTGGGAAAAGTGGATTTGGAATCGCAACCCTTCGTTTGCTTCCTGACTGCATGATTCCCTTAATGACTTGTGATCTGCTTAATGACTAGTATAAAAAATGGGTAAAAAAAAAACAACCCAGGTCTGGTCATGGGGTGCCTCGGCTTACAACAGGAGTCCCCAAAACTTGGCAACTTTTAAGATTTGTGAACTTCAAATATTAAAAGAATCCATAGCTGGTTGGAGAATTCTGGGAGTTGAAGTCCACAAGTCTTAAAGTTGCCAAGTTTGGAGACCTCTGGCTTACAACAATGACTTTTGACCGATCCCAGTTGTCACAAGTTGAGGACTATCTGGTTGCCTCCTGAATGAGCGATGGCACATATATTTAGGGGAAAGGTCACATCCAGTGTGGGAGGGGTCTTTCCTCAGCCATCCTGTCCCAGAAGTCGGCCTGCTTGTGCTGTAAACGGACGCAGTTGTGCACTTCCCTCTGCACACGGGTGCACACCCAGTGGGTTAGCTACTGTTTCTTGTTGGGCTAGTTACATTTGTGTCTCTGCCTCGAGAGAGAAAGTGACTTGATGAGGAACGGATTTCCCAGAACAATAAATAAATATTTCTGCTTTCGGGAAACGCTCTGCGCGGAGCTAAAAGTGCAGGGGTTTCATTGAGTTCCCTTCCAGACTTAACATGTCATTCAAAGGCGGCACTAAGTTTGGTGAGCTGGAAACCCCCTCCATCCGATGCAGGCAACTTGGCTTCTTGCCTCTTCACCAAATTGGCCCGTTTGGAAAAGCCGCAGAGTTAAGTTGCCTGACTTTTGTTCATGGCACAGATATCCTCCGGTAGAAGAATCGCCTACGAGTCAGGAAGTAGTAACTCATTGACTTCAGGTTCGAGTAAACACCACCGGGAGGGAGGGAGGGAGGGAGAGGAATCCCTTGGGTTCGTTTGGGCTGCTTGGATGGATAGAAACTCGGCTTTGGGGCCCGATTGGTGAATCCAAAAGACTCCCGCAATCCTCTTCTTTCCTTTTGGGCCACCATAGCAATAGCACTTAGACTTATATATCGCTTTGTAGTGCCTCTCTAAGCGGTCGTGGTCCTCTCTCTCTAATCATGGTCTTTCAAGGAATTTCCTGACAGTGAGAAACAATCCATCAGGGGGACAGTTTCTCTCCAGAGGTGATGGGTGCTCAAATCATTGGAGGCTTTCAAAGAGAGACTGGACAGCCACTTGTCTGGAATGGCGTGCTAGGGTTTCCTGCTTGAGTTGGGAGGGTTGGACTAGAAGACCTCCCGGTTCCCTTCCAACTTGGGTTATTCTGTATTCTGTGGCGCTGCTGGGGTTGCCAGATGTTTGGCCCAGAGCTCTATCAGGGATCCTCGCTGGCTTCCCTGCGGCATTTCTTGGGGACCATCTGCCTGGTGACTTTTATCTCGGTTACCCAGACCGGGTCCAGAGACCTACGCATGACTATCTGGTGCAGTGGCAGCTTCCTTCTCCCGCCTTGTGTGACGCCCGCTCCCTTCTCTGGAAGTCATTGGAGGCTGGAGGCTGGAAAAAGAAGAGGGCTGCCCTGTTCCCCACCTCAGAAGCCAGCAGGTTTGGCTGAGGCTGCAGCCCCTGCCATGTTTCTAGTCCTTAGTGGTGGTTTCCAGGGCTTCCCAATTTGATTTTGTGATCCATCGGGCATATTCCACATAGTCTGGAATAATTAACCAAATTATAGGGTATCAATCAGTCTTTCTGAACCTTGGCAACTGTAAGATGCATCGACTTAAGCTCCCAGAATTCCCCATCCAGCTTTGCTTGACTGGGGAAATCTGGGAGTTGAAGTCCACAACATCTTAACAGTTGCCAAGATTTAAAAAGACTCGTATAAATACAACTTTGCTGTGAGAAATTTAAGCCCCAAGGTTTTCATTGCTATTCCAAGTCAGTTGGGGGAAAAGCTAGCTTCTTGCAAATGCCTTTTCAGAGAGGAAGGGGTCAAGCTATTTTCCAAAGGCCAGACAAGGAACAATGGATTCAGCCTAGAAATAAAGAGACATTTCCTGACAGAACCATCAACCCGTGGAACAGACGTTGCCTTCGGAAGTTGTGGGAGCTTCACCCCTGGAGGCTTTCGAGGAGAGACTGGGCTGCCATCTGTCAGAAATGGTGTTGGGCGGGGTAGTGGTGGACTAGATGACCTCCAAGGTCCCTCCAAACTCTGTTAACCTGCCTGCCTGTCGGATTAGTTTTCCTCCATCTTCCTGCCTTTTGCTCTTTCTTAACATCCCTCCCCTGCAGCCTTTAAAACCCCCTCTGTCCCCAACGGAGAGAGGCTTTCCCCTTGCCGTCTGTGTTTTCTGTCTGCGTTTCTTCTTCCTTGGCCAGTTTTAGAAGCGACAGCTGCAGGCCGAGACTTTGGGGAGGAGCTGCTGGAGAGGGTTGCTCCCCTTTTATCTTGGCAGGCCATTTGT